AGTGATGCCCGGGATCTTGGTGGTAGGACAGAGACTATGTCATTTACAACAAGAAGGAATAAAGTGGTACTAAGCACACTTCCTTGTAGGACGCCTTCAAATTGACGAAAGCATGATGACGTGGAAGAGGCAATTTTGACCTGGAAAGTATGTTTAGAAAGGAAAGATTTAATGAAAACACCTATGTTTCCACGTAAACCTATGAAGGACAAATTGTTGTAGGATATGGTACCGCCATGTGGTATCATATGCTTTTTCTGGATCAAAGAATATGGCTAATACGGATTCATCGCGTGCAAATGCAGATGTAATATATGTCTCGAAATGGACAAGTGGGTCTGTTGTACTTCAGGCACAGCGGAAACCAAACTGGGAAGGCGAAAGGAGATTACGAGATTCCACATTAAGCAAAAGTTAACAATTTGTTCTAGTAGTTTGCACAAGCAGCTAGTAAGAGCTATGGGGCAGTAATCTTGGGGTAGGGTACCCGATTTATTGGGTTTTAAGAAAGGTAGGATAAGAGCATCTCGCCAATTTTGACCTGGAAAGTATGTTTAGAAAGGAAAGATTTAATGAAAACACCTATGTTTCCATGTAAACCTATGGAGGACAATTGTTGGAGGATATGGTACCGAAATGTGGTATCATATGCTTTCCCAAATCAAAGAATATGGCTAATACGGATTCATCGCGTGCAAATGCAGATGTAATATATGTCTCGAAATGGACAAATGGGTCTCCTGTACTTCAGGCACAGCGAAAACCAAACTGGGAAGGGGAAAGGAGATTACGAGATTCCACATTAAGGGGACCGTCCCTGAAAATGGCCACCTTTCCCTACTCTATACATCATAAAAAAATATTGGTTAGAGATAACTGATTGATTCTTTTTGCATGCTATAGAGTAAAGAATTGCGCTCCGTTATATATATTAATTTTAACTTTGCTCCCCCATTGGGGGGGGCACCCCCCAAAATGTCGAAAAAAATCGTTTTTTTTTTGGTATGTCTTCGGTACATCCCAACTATCAGAGCTTTTTACAGAATATTCCCCCCAAAATACTAGTGTTAGATCAACTCTAGCCTATAGCCATGTAAAAGGCCAAATTTTGAATTTCCTTTTTTTTTGGCGGGGGACAGCTTGACATAAAAACTACTTTTTATTTCTTTTTCAGCATTAAAATATTATTATTTTTTGATTAAGGCAAAAATTCAAAAATCGGCCTTTTACATGGCCTTGGGACGCCGAGGCTCTAGTGAAAGCAACAAACTGCATTTGGATCGCATGAAAATTACGTGAGTTGGGATGTACCGAAGATTCATTAAAAAATGACGGAGCTACGGCGTTTTGTATTTAGCACCTTGCCAAAGTTCGTTATCTCTGTTATTTTTCTCTGAATCTAATGATATTACATATCAAAAAAATGCTTTATTTAGTGTACTTTGCAATGCAATGATTACCAAGTCAATAGGAATTTTCATGTTCAATAGGGACACTATTCTGTAAAGGTATGTAACTTTTTTCTTTTTTTTTTCGTTGTTCATAAAAGTTGATATTTTCGTGTGAAAAGCTTAATAAATGCATTTTACCATAGAGACTACTAATCTAAACCAGATAAAAACCTTTAAATTTTTTTTTTTTCCATTTTATTTTTATTTATTTTTTTTTTTTTTTGAAGAAATGGGGAACTGTGGATGGCAACATTAGTACAAAATCATTCTAATTATAAAGTCCTGGCATGAATACAACATGGTTCAATTTTGAGAATTTCAAAAGCATATGAATTCAGTGCATTGAATTCGAGAACTTACGAAAATCGGGGGGGGGGGGGATGGTCACTGGGTGTTTATAATTTTCAAGGAGGATCATATGTACGTGAACGCACGCACATAAAGTTAAAAAGATTAATCATCATCATTTAGTAGGCCTACATTGACTTTCATATCTAAATAATAAAATATATTAGTTATCCCTCTCATACCATTTTCTTTGATAATTGTCAATATTAACAGATTGCAAAGGAGAACAAGTGTACAGTTTATGATTAGCCATTTGCACCCATTATCTTTACTAAGAAGTGCATAAAATAATGCAGACGCCTAGGTGTTGTGGGATATTTGCCAATTTATGGTGCCTAAGACTTACGGTAACGTCTAAACATATTCATTTTTATCGGGAAACACCCAGTGACCATCCCCCCCCCCCCCGATTTTCGTAAGTTCTCGAATTCAATGCACTGAATTCATATGTTTTTGAAATTCTCAAAATTGAACCACCATGTTGTATTCATGCCAGGACTTTATAATTAGAATGATTTTGTACTAATGTTGCCATCCACAGTTCCCCATTTCTTCAAAATAAAAAATCAATAAAAAATAAAATGGAAAATAAAAAATATTTTTTTTTTTTAAAGGTTTTTATCTGGTTTAGATTAGTTGTCTCTATGGTAAAATGCATTTATTAAGCTTTTCACACGAAAATATCAACTTTAATGAACAACGAAAAAAAAAAAAAAAAAAGTGACATACCTTTACAGAATAGCGTCCCTATTGAACATGAAAATTCCTATTGACTTGGTAATCATTGCATTGCAAAGTACACTAAATAAGCGTTTTTTTTATATATAATATCATTAGATTCAGAGAAAAATAACAGAGATAACGAACTTTAGCAAGGTGCCAAATACAAAACGCCGTAGCTCCGCCATTTTTTTATGAATCTTCGGTACTTCCCAACTCACGTAATTTTCATGCGATCCAAATGCAGTTTGTTGCTTTCACTAGAGCCTCGGCGTCCCATAGCCATGTAAAAGGCCGATTTTTGAATTTTTGCCTTAATCAAAAAATAATAATATTTTAATGCTGAAAAACGCATTCAAAAATAGTTCTCTATGTCAAGCTGTCCCCCGCCAAAAAAAAAAGGAAATTCAAAATTCGGCCTTTTACATGGCTATAGGCTAGAGTTGATCTAACACTAGCATTTTTGGGGGAATATTCTGTAAAGAGCTCTGATAGTTGGGAAGTACCGAAGACATACCAAAAAAAAAAACAGCGATTTTTTTCAACTTTTTGGGGGGTGCCCCCCCCAATGGGGGAGCAAAGTTGAAATTTATATATATAACGAAGCGCAATTCTTTGCTCTATAGCATGCAAAAAGAATCAATCAGTTATCTCTAACCGATATTTTTTTATGATGTATAGAGTAGGGAAAGGTGGCCATTCTCAGGGACGGTCCACTTAATGGAAGGAAAGTGTGGGGAAAAGTGAGAGCCACTACTGACCTGGCTGAAATAGTTGCCCAGTTTATTAGCTACTTTGACAGGCTCAGAGATGAGAGTATCTCGAATATGGAGGAAGGGTGCATGATGAGGGGGATGTTTGCATGATAATTTATGGATCCGTCGCCAAACAGCTGAAATACATGTAGAAGTAATTGAGCTATTTGTTTTATTGTTTCTAATTGTATGGCAAAGATGGGCAGATGCTCTTTTAAAGGAAATAAGGGCTGATAGCTGGTGAGGGGTGCCTCGTTTGTAGCGATAGCCGTTCCAGGCTGCTCGTTTAAAGCGAAGCACTTTGGTGCAATCAGAATTTCACCATCGAACACATTTAGAGGTATAAGGTCTCGAAGTTCGAGGAATGGCTGAATAGGCAGCTCTTAGGATCGTGGTTGTAAAACATTGTAGCATATCTGAAATGGACAGAAAGGGGGGTGGAACGATAGGTATCGTAGAGAGTGAAGTGAAAGTACGCCAATCAGCTCTATCAACGCACTAGTGTGGAGGATTAGGAAGTGGTACATATGAAGTAGGAGAAAGGAGTACTGGGTCACTATAGGGGAAGTGGTCTAGAACTGACCAATGGAAATCTAAATGTAAAGTAGGAGAGCATAGAGAGAGGTCAAGGCATGAAAAGGATTGCATGCGCATGTCAAAGTGTGTGGGGCAATCTGAATTAAGAATAATTAGGTTATTTGTGAAGAGGAAGCGTTCTAGAGATCGGCCTCGGGAGTTGGTAATAGAGTCACCCCACAGAGTGTGGCGGCAGTTGAAATCACCAACTACAAGGAAATGTGGTTGGAGTTGGGAAATTATTTTCAAAGGCAAAAAAGTCAAAGAAGTAAACTGAAATCACTGTGATCCAGCGGCAAAGAAAGATGCGAATAACTGTGCACAGGACAGTAATTTGTATGGGAGGTATGACATAAGGTGTTTTATGATGGATAATTATAGACAAGATATAAAGGGAGTATGGGGAAGAGATAAAATGGTAATTGGGAATTGGAATAGGAGAATGTGTGAGTAAAATCTCTTGGAGGCAGATATTAGATGGATTATAAGAAGCAAGGATATGACATAGGTCTGGTCTATGAGAGCAGACACCGCGAATATTCCAATGTAGGAGAGCTATTTCTTAGTTGATTTACGAGTGATAATGCATGCAGTATGTGTTGGGGAATTTGAAGGGGAAGGAGCTAGGGGGTGTAAAGGAGGGGTATTAAGAGGTAGGGAATCTGGGGAAGGGCATTGTTGTGACATGAGTGATTCCCGTGTCTGCAGAAAGATTTTCTGCACACAGAGAGAAACAGATCTGTTTCCACAAGATGATTTTCACGCTAAGCAGCATGGATTTTTTTCATTTCTACAACCACTTCGATTATACAAACATATATCACTAACAAAGGGAATGTTTACCTTTAACATGGCTTTCTAATAATTTCTTGTGGTAATACCAATAGTCAAATTGGTAAATCCCTTCAGAATTATGAAATAAAAAATGCTTTGGATTAATTCCCATACACAGCAAGAAAATACCATTCTTCAACTCACTTATTTCATTATATGTAGTAAAGTCAGTATTAAAAAGACAAGTACATACTACATACTCCTTACCTTAAGCATTCAGGTGGAGCAACTCTCCTCTTTAACTCTTCCTGTGTTACTGTTATCCTTTGTTGTTCCCTCCCTACCATCAACAAGGCTGGTACCCAAAACACAAGTTCTGCGGAGAAATTCTCTTTTCAATGTGGATAATTACATTTCCTATCACTACATGAATGGTCTTTAGATATGGTAGATTTCCCGTCTGATCACATATTCAATAAGATTTCAAGGTCGAGGCCAAACACAAATAGTAATAATGATGGTATAAAGTGTATGAATTAGTTCTGTTAAAATATATTCAAGTTTATAACATGTAAAGCATGTTAACAATATTTATATCATCAAATCTATTCTCGTGTGAAGAGAAGGAATCTAATGATCATGTTAGTCTTAAACACAGCTGATAATCTTGATGTGATATTCCTGATAGCAAGGAAGGGCATGAAATATATTGAAGAAATTAGATGGTAAAACAGGCTGAAGGAAGAATAGAGAGCAAAAAATTAGTAAAACCAGAAAAAAGGCTTAAAATTGACTAATAAAACTATCGATGTGCCAACCATCTTTGAAAGTCTACAGACCAACATACCAACTTATATAAAACTCTCCAGGAATTTAACCCATCCTTCCATAAAATCTCCATGAGTTCACATCTAAAGCCCCCAAGGCTTTTATAACCAATAAAGCAACCTTACCTAACCTTTTTATACATGTTCTATATATAGTCCATGGCATGGGGTGAGACTCATATATGACCAATAAATGAGTCTCAATATACAACCCCTAGGACCCTGTGGGACTTATGCAATACGCTTTACATAGTCCCTACAAGGGAGCTCCATCCCCTGGACCCACAGGGTTAGCTACCCAAAATGATGGGTTATACTTTTTTCAGACTTTGGGGCACAGGATGGGCTTTATCTGCATAACCACTATATTTATACATGACCTGGAATCCCACTAAACTGTTTTATAAATGACCCATAATCGACACAACAATGTCAATTTGTCAAGGAATAGTCTCCCAGCACTGTCAAATATCCCTGTGGTATAATCACTAATGCACAGAGATTTATTGTAAAGTATAGGGTAAACAATTGTTAAAACACATTAAAGAAGTATAATAAAATCAAAAGAATACATTAAATACATGAATCAGGAAAAGCAGGCATTGATAACAAAATAATCTTCACAAACATGTAGTTCTACATGAATTACTTGGCAGATTGCAGTAACAAGTTTATGCAGTCATAGTAGTGTTTATCATCACAATGTGAACATGGTGAAGTACTTAGAAGAAGAAGGATCAATCATCTCTTTTCTCTGTCATTTATTTCCTTTATTTCTGTTTTGCGCTGGAAATGTCAGCGATGAAAAGTCTGTCACTTTTCATTGAGGCATCCATTCCTGATATGGTTTAACTTGAAATCATGATTATCATGCAATGAAAATTTTCCCACCAAGCTGCAGGAGGGTAAGACAAGGCCCTTGCACATCACATTTAATTTTACAAAAAAATAAAATAAAAAATAAAAAAATAAAAACTATTAAATACAGTTTGCTTCTTTCATTCTCATATATATGTAGTACATGCCATGTTAACTGGAACTTTAGTTTATCCATCTCTGTGTACAGTTACTGAGCCCATCTGTTTTAACATGCCTATCTTACCATTTAATTTTATCTTTATTGTTATTGGAAAGATAAATACAACAGAATCAATACCACTATCAATAGTTTCAGTTACACGCACCCATAATGATACAATTATCATACAGAAAGGGAAAAATACACTCACTCATACATGAAATAATATAAGTAGGCCAAGAATAACATCAGAAATTAAGAAAATAGGCCATGACATATGCCTCATAGACTGTCAATGGCAATTGGATGGGGGTCTGGGGGCAGAGCCACCAAAAGGGAAATACACATTTGTTAATTCCCATGAGTGACTGAAGAAATAGGGATCACACCTCAGAGGTCTGCAAACACTTTATAATCCTTTACCAATGCTTTCACTTACATCATTTACAAGGGAAAACTAGACATTCACACATATTACACCATGGACAATTGAAACAAGAAAAATAATATGGTGATTCAGTTTGCCTTCACAACTATGCATAGTAACAACTGGGTGAAAACAAACCTAATTGTTAGACCCATCTCTTAAAGCATTTGCTAAGGAAAGTTGTCTGTAATTCACATTTGCTGCATTTTTCTAAGAAAAATGCCCAAAGTTGTGTTGCTTTTGGTTGCACTTTCATATATTGGGAAAGGCTAGCTTAACTTCCATATTTTTCCAAACAATGAAAAAAAGAAAGCAAAGATGGAAAAATGGGTACAAGCCACCGAAAGGGAATACAGAGATTGGGTCTGAGGGCAGAGCCACCAAAAGGGAAATACAGCGTGGGGGTCTGGGGGCAAAGTCCCTGGGTTAAAAAGGATTTGGATTCACACATCTGTTGATTCCCATGAGTGGCTGAAGAAATAGGGATCAAACCTCAGAGGTCTGCAATCACTTCATAAACATTTACCGATGCTTTCACTTACATCATTTACAAGGGAAAACTAGACATTCACACATGTAACACCATGGATAATTGAAACAAGAATAATAATATGGTGATTCGGTTCGCCTTCACAACTACGCATAGTAACAACAACTGGGGGAAAACAAACCTAGTTGTTAGACCCATCTCTTAAAGCATTTGCTAAGGAAAGTTGTCTGTAATTCACATTTGCTGCAGTTTTCAAAGAAAAATGCCAAAAGTTGTGTTGCTTTTGGATGCACTTTCATATATTGGGAAAGGCTGGTTTAGCTTCCATATTTTTCCAAACAATGAAAAAAAGAAAGGAAAGAGGGAAAAATGGGTACAAGCTATGGACCACGGGAATGTCCATGGTATCTAAAAGGAGACATTTCTTGAGTCCATAACACTTCCTATCAAGTAAATACTGTAGTAATAAAATAAATCATTCTTTACTTTATTCATTTTATTTCGCTCTTTTTTTCATATATTAATCAGCGACTGCTTAGGCACTGTTTTCTACTACAGGTAGTCCATCCAGTGGTCCTTCTTGCCCAGATTTCATACCATCCATGTTTAAGTTTAAAAGTGAAGATGATAAAAAAAGGGAAAAGGTTAGCAAGGTATTAGTGTGCACAGAAAAGAACAAAATTAAAACTAGATGAAGAAGAGCAACAATTACATCCCAGTTAAAAATATTTTGATTAAATATCATTATTTTTATAAATTTACCTGGCATATTTGTTAGATATTCATAATGTTTACTGTTTAATGTTTGAACATAAATGTGCTAGACATCAAAGGTCATATAGCACTATAGTAAAGTATTGGATCAGAAAGGGCAAAGGAGAGTTAATGATTACGATAAAATGTGTTAGATGTCAAAGGTTTGAGTGTTATAGGATAGTATGGTTGTGAAAAGGGTAAAAGGGGAGCAAGTGAACTATAACAGAAATTAGTATAAATGGGGAAGGTATAGGAAAACTGTTCAAGATAGCTGTTGAAAAAGTAGGAGAGAGGGGCAGAAATGACAAAGATTGAAGGGTGTTATAGGAAAGTATGGTAAAGAAAAGGGAAAGGAGGAAAATAAAATAAGTAGAGCAGTGATTAATAAATGGGAAAGGTTAAGGAGGTAGAGCAATTAAATCAACTGCCTTGTATCTGTGACTGTGGAAGGAATAGTTATAATAGGTGATAATGGTAGACATGGTTGTCTTAGTAGTAGGGGATTAGGTATCTGAGGAGTAGGATCAGGAGTAGGATCAGGTGTAGGATCAGGAGTAGGATCAGTAGTAGGATCAGTAATAGGATCAGGAATAGGATCAGGAGTAAATTCAGGAGTAGTGTCTACGGGTTTGATAAGGAAGGTGGGGTCTGGGGAAGGGTATTGTGATAAAAGATTCACGTGTTTATCCAGGAGGGAGTGGGAGGGATAGTGGGGAGGGATGGGGTATTGGGAGATGCTTAGTCTGGGTGGTTTGGGTGGTTGAGAGGATGAGATATTTGGACAAGAATAGGGTTTTGAGAGAGGCTTTGGTTTGGGTGGTTGAGAGGATGAGGTATTTTGGGAAGGGGTAGGGGGACTATAAGGAGGTAGAGTTACTGAGTGAATTGTAGTGTATCTATGACTGGGGAAGGAATAGGGACATTGTTCAAGGAAAACAGAGGTGGCTGTTGGAGAAGTAGGAAGAGAATCCAGGGGTTGAGAAAGGGGGACTGGGGAAGTTGGTGAAGTATCAATAGAAGAATGTATGGAGGGGAGGGGTCTGAAGAAGGAAATTGTTGTGATAGAGGGGACTTGTGTGAGTATTCACGAGGGAGCGGTAGAGAGGGTGGGGTATGTTGGGAGGGTGTAGGAGGAAGGGGGATGAAGGGAACTTGAGGAGGATGGATATCTGCAAATATTTCAAATGTAAAAGGAGTAGGAACAGAAGGATTGAGGGGTGGGTAAGGGAGCGGAGTATTCTCTTGGGTAAGTTTTGCATGTCTTCCAGGATTTCTGAGTTGGGTAAAGAGGACTGAGAAGCAAAGGTTCTCTTATAAGGAGAAGAGGAAATAGATATCTGAGGAACAGAAGAAGAGGAAGGTGTAGGAGAAAATGTAGTAGGAAAGTGTAGAGTGGAATGTTTAGGTTGCCTGGTATGACAAATAAAGTGAGGAGGCGGGGTAGGTATCAGGGAAGTGGTAGAGATTGGAGTATCTGGATTTAGAATGGAAAATGAATTTGGCTGGTGGATAGGGTGTAGGGTGAGTAGGAATAGGATGTAGGTTTAGGGTATAGGGGAGAGATACCTGGGGAGATGCAGAAACATAGGGTGTAGGGTGAGTAGACATAGGATGTACGTTTAGGGTATAGGGGAGAGATACCTGGGGAGATGCAGAAACATCTTGTGAGGATAGTAGGGGAGCAGAGCGAAGGACATTTTTGGAATAAGTTGAGAGAGAAAAACCTCACCGTCATGCTTCCTGTCTGGCCTCATGTAGAGTGAGGCATAGTTTAAATCTAAGAACTGCTACCTCACACTCAAACTTACAGGCAGGAGACTCCTATGAAATAAATTATGGGAGTCTACACAATTGGCAC